TGGCGAGAGAATGGGATTCAGTTTCATTTTGTTGCATATGGATTTCCAGTTTTCCCAGCACCATTTGTTGATGATGCTATCCTTCCTCCATTGCATGCTTTTAGCCCCTTTATCTAATATAAGATAGTTGTAGTTTTGTGGATTGGTCTCTGTGTCCTCTATTCTGTACCATTGGTCCACCCGCCTGTTTTGGTACCAGTACCATGATGTTTTTGTTACTATTGCTCTGTAGTATAGTTTGAAATCTGGTGTTGCTATACCGCCTGATTCACACTTCCTGCTTAGAATTGCTTTTGCTATTCTGGGTCTTTTATTTTTTCATATGAATTTCATGATTGCTTTATCTATTTCTACAAGAAATGCCATTGGGATTTTGATTGGCATTGCATTAAACCTATAGAAAACACTTGACATTTTCAATTTGTCTTTCGTCATTCATTTTTTTTTGGTCCCCTCTAATAAGTCTTTGCCCACCCCAAACCACTAAAGTTTTGTTTTATGCTTTCTTTCAAAGGCTAAAAGTAAAGTTTAGCTCCTACATTTAGGGATTCTGATCCTTTTAGAGATAATTTTGTGAATGATGCATGGTAGAGTGGAAGTTATTTTTCTTCTCTTCTTTCCCCTGCCTTTTCCCCCCAGCAGCATTTAATGAAAGGGTGATCCTTCTTCCCATTGAAGTGTTATGACACCTTTGTCAGAAATGAATTGACTGCATCCATGTCTATTTATGACTAGACTTCATTATTTAATGCCAATCTCTATGTCCATCTTTCTCTCAATTTCACACTATCTTGATTCGGGTGGCTTTGAGATGCCTTAAAAATCAGGTAAAGTTCCAACTTTGTTTTTCTTTTCCAAAATTATTTTGACTATGTCAGGCCTTTTTCATTTTTTATATAAATATTAGAATTAGATTCTCTTTTTTAAAAAGCCCTTCTGGCATTTTGATAGGAGTTGTCTTGAATCTGTGGATCAATTTTAGGAAAAATTCACTTCTTAATTATATTGAATCTGCCAAATCATGAACATTGTCTATCACTCCACTAAGACCTGTTCAGTTTTTTTACATGCATTTTATGAAAGTTGTTACAAGTCTTTCATGACTTTTGATGCTACTATAATATTTTTGTATATAAGTATTCAATTGTTTATTGCTAATACATTCAAATGCCATCAGTGTTTACACATTGACTCTCTATCCTATGACCTTCCTAAATGCTCTTATTAGTTCTAATGGCATATTTATTGTATAGAATTTTTATGTTCTCTATGGATGAAGACAATTTTTCTGTTTGATTTCCAAACTGATTTTTTATTTTATTTTATTGCACTAGTTAGAACTTCCAGTGTGATGTAAATAGAAGCAGAGAGAGTGGGCAGCCTTGAATTCTTCCTTCTCTTAGGGGAAAAGCATTCAGTCTTTGAACATTAAGCATGCCATTTGCTGTCAGTATTTGTACAATTCTTTATCAGATTGAAGTCACTCCCTTCTGTTCCTCACGTTTAATTAGAAATGGATAGGGAATTTTGTCAAATGCTTTTTTCAAGGACTTTTCTCTCCCATTTGACTTCAGGGCTTAGGATATTTTCTATGTATCTGAGGGCTTTCATAAATATCTGTTGCATGAATGAAGCTGGACTAAATATCTCAGAGAGTAGAAGGCCACACTTTAGCTACCCAGGAGCATGAAACGGACGAGGGGGGCGTCAGTGTTGCAATGCCTGCTCCAAGCTGAGGTGCTAGATCTGTCCATATTATCTCATGCAATTTTCACAGGAGTTTTGAGAAAGAAGTATCTCCATTTTACAGAAAAAGAATGAGAGGGGGATGGGAATAGGGAAGACAGTAGCATGAATCGGACGTCACTTTTCTGGGTTTGTAAATGACTACACCACCAGAGAACTCCATGTCAGGCAGAACCCTAAGAATAGGATTCTAATTGAAATCAGTTTTACTCCTTGTATGTATAATATGTCAAAGTACACTCTGCTGTCATGGGTATCTCAAAAGAGCAAATAAAAAAATGCCAACAAAAAAGAATGAGCAATAGGGTGATTTAAAAACTAATACATGGTTGGAGAAGTCCTTTGTTTCACAACTCAATTATAAATAAGAGGGCAATCATTAAAGTCAGAAAACGAAAAGATATACAAAGGGGGCTCCTTTCAAATATGATTGTATACACATCAAAATGTGAATCTTTGTCAACCTTGATAAAGCAAGAGTCCACCCAGGGCTGAGGGAAGTGGGAAGTTGGGAAAGGAATACGAAAACTTTAGAGATTTAGCATTCTTATTTTCCCATATGGGAACATTTATACCCCTTCGAGTCTCTGACCTAAAGAGGTTGTTGTGATGATTAATGAATATATGCGTGTAATCTGTAATAGGCACCCAAGGAACTGTAGCAGTGAGAAGTCAAGGGAGGTATCCCATAATAGCAAGAAATCAACCCATCTCCTCTGATGAGCTTTAGAATTGGTCCATATACCACCTCTGTCCAGAGATAGGAAGGAAGTCAGCCATAAAAGGGTAGAGAATGGGAGTCCAGCACAAGATGGGTGACAGGAGGGCCCTCTGAACGCTGTCATCATCCCTGTTTTACAGTGGAGGGAACTCTGAGGGCCTGCCTAATTCACCTAAGCCAGGACTGAGACCAGGAATAGTGACCCTAGATTCCATTGCCTGCCCTGAGCCAAGTGACACAATGCAGCTGAAACCCTGGGCGAGCTCCTGGCGTATGCTTTGTACACATTTCTAATGAATAGGCCCCTTGGTTTAATTAAGGGGAAAAAAAAAGAGATTAATTGATTCTCACAACAGCTGCAAATTATTTACATTGCATTTGTGTTGATGGCTAATAAAAGAGTAAAGGAGTGTGGGGACAGCCCAGGGTGGCTGTAATTCTTCCAGGGTTCATAATGAAGCACCAGTTTCCATGCCAAAATGCAAGAATGGATGAGCCTGCTGCCCCACGCACACCTGCAGCGGGCAGAGCTGCTCTCCGTCCTGGGCTTGATTCAAGAGACAGAAAGGGATCTCAGGAGCCAAGACCTGAGACTGGCTAGGCATATGTCCCTGCCCCACAGATTGCCTCCCAGTTAGTTTGTGATTGCTGGGGAAGGGATAAGGAAGAGGAAAATGGTGGTCCCTCCAATCCTGGGACAGCTGTTCAGTGGCCTTCTGAAGGATGTTGGGTTGAGAAGGTGCAGGGGACTCTGTGCAGAGCTGTTCTAAGTTATATAAGGTCTTGCTTTGCAAGTCATTGAAAAATTTATAATGAAATACATACAGTATGCATATTGCACATATATCATAATACACGTGTGTGTGCATGGGTGTGTCTGGGATATCATAAAATTTGAAAAGAGATTTTGGTCTTCCCACTTAATAATTACTGACCACGTGGCCGTCCTGGGAAAGTCACACCTCAAGGCGTTAATTTCTTCATGGTCTTTACAGTGATCATGCTATGTATCAGGGTGCTCTGGGGAGTATTACTTTGAAACTGTGAAGAGGGGGTGAGAGTTGGCATTGGGATAACTGATTATCCTAGGTCTCCCTCTAACCTGTTATTTTGTTTTTAAATCATTTACTTTGTGCTTCTGTGAGGGTATGTGGGGACTGAATAAAGAGAGAAGAGTCTCAATTGAGTTACCAGATGCAGGTTTTCAGAAGATCATTCCTAAGGCAAGTGTGGAGTGTGGACTAAGTGGACCTAGGATTTTCTACCGTGAGACCACTCACAAGGCTACTGCAATGATCCAGATGGCATTTGACTCAGATGAAACATACCAAGGAGACAGAATAGACAGACATTGGATGTGCATCAGATAAGAGTCCGACATAGGCGTATTATACCAAATCCTGGCACAAGTCTAATTTCCATTCTCTATCCATCATTAGCAACTATTGACTATAAGCATATTATACTCATTTTCTAGGGTTCCATACAAAGTACCCCAAGCTGAGTATCTTAGAATAACACAATTTATTGTCCTCTTCAGGCAGGAAGTCTAAAATCAAGATGTTGCAGGACCACGCTCCCTGGGAAGGTGCTAGAGGAAGTTATAGTCCAGGCTCCTCTCCCAGCTCCCAGGAGGTCCCTGGCCTGTGCAGCATAGCTCCTGTCCTCCTGGCATTCCCCCTGTGTGGGTGTCTGTCTCTGCATCCAAATTTCCCCTTTTGATAAGGACACCAGTCATGTTGGATGAGGCCCTACCTAGGGCACTCATTTTAGCTTGACCATCTCTATGAAGATCTGTGTCCAAATATGGGTACTGGGATTAGGATACCAACCTTTCTTTCTGGAGGTAGACAAAATTCAACCTATAATGTTAGATATTTCAGTGTATTACTTAGTCATCAGATAATACATCGTTTAGCTCATCAATTTATTGAAGAATAACTTAAGTTGCTAGATAACTTAAGCCATTTAGATAGTCTTTAGATGGTCAGAAAATACTAAAATGTTTGTTGCATCATTACATACATATTGGTACTTATACATATGTGTATATTATGTATCCATGCATGTCAATAGCTCTTCAGGATAGGTCCAGTTAGGTTGAGGTCAGAAATTCTAGCACACACAGCCATAACCTATCAGTTTGTTGATTGATAAGGATTCTGAAACATCTATTAACAGAGAATGGGATTTGAAAATTTAAGTTTTGTATCAATTCTTAAGAATCTGTACACTGGGCATTGAGAAATCGAAATAATGGGATTTGATGAGTCAGAAGGTCCATAGTCTTAGAGATGAAAATGTTTGAGTCTTGGTACTGCTGTTTAGCTGAGAGGTAGTTGGGGTGAGCTGTAGAAGCCCTCTGTGCATGCTCTGAAGCTTCTCTGGGTATCCGTGGTCTAACATGGTCCTCCTGGGGTTGTTGGATGGGAACCTGTAGTTGGGCAAATGTGCAATATGAATATTATTATGGGCTAATTGTTCACATGATGATCTTCTTGCTTTGTTCTGTTTTCCTCCATTTGTTCTCTAGTCAACAAACATAAGCCATGGATCGAGACCTCTTATCACGGAGTCATAACTGAGAACAATGACACAGTCATTTTGGATCCACCACTGGTAGCCCTGGATAAAGATGCACCAGTTCCTTTTGCAGGTAAGATGATGGTTTTGTATGTTGCACTTGACTTGCTTTGGAGATGTGTTGTGAAACCTCTGAGAAGCCAGGCTAAGGCCTTATAGCTATGGTCACCATGCTGTGTGTGTCCTAGATCAGCCCAAGGTGTCAATGCTGTGTGCCTCTTCTCACTTCTTGTATGAATTCTGTATCTCTTTGCGGTTCCCCCCATCATGTTGCCACCAAGGCAAAACGCTCTTTCTTCATAATGATAAGTTGCTGAAGTAGCCCCTGGAGTCGGAGTTAAACTAGTAATGTTGTTAAGAACACTTTTATCTTAATAACCCATAGACATGGTAAAATGTATGATGTGCTGTCACCACAACTCATGGATCAAGGATAAGTTGAGAATTGTTGCTTATTACCCTGGCAAGAGAAAAAGATAAAGAAAAAAGGATCAGGAAATATTTGCTAAGGGTAGGACAAGGTCAGGCCCTTGAACTTAAATGTGTGTGTGGCTCTTGGAGGAGGAATCAGAAGGAAAAAAAAATGTTTCCCTCTGTATCTTGTGGCTAGAGAGCTTTCCAACTATTATCAAGACTACCATGGCTCCCTTCTGACCTCCTGTAAGCATGGGGTCCCAGGACAGGTACATGCAGGGTACCACTATTTCACATGTTTCTACAGATTTGGGCAAAGACAAGGGGATGGGTGATGGGTAGAAGGGATTAGACAAAGAATTTCTGAAGATCCCTGCATCGTGAGTAATATTGTTAACATTTTATAACTGTCAGAAGAAAGACAGGAAATTTAATGAAGGTATTCAAGACTTCCAGAAGATTGCTTTATGATGGATGGGTGCCAGGCAGAGGTTTTCACCATGATGAAGTCAATTTTTTCTGACAGTTTGTCTGCTTCACTATGAGCCACTTGGGCAAGAAAAAATGGGCTCTTTTGTACTTTTAAAAGATAAGTTTTTGGGCAGGCCCCTTTTTCATTATGGAACATTATAAAGTAAGGAGGGGTGGGGTGGGTTCCAGTCAGCATTATGTGAAGACAAACCCAAAAGCATCCTTGAAGACAAAAGGGAGACACTCTGGACTCTCAGAGGCTCTATCTTACTTCCATGGGGGTTTAGAATCCGGGCACTTTCAAACCTCTTCCAGATGTCCTTCAACCAACCGCCTATGCAATCTTTTCCACTAAAGAGGAGGTTTCTTCCCCAAACCTTCTGGGCAGAGCCTCAGGATACTCCAACTCATCCTTTCTTGGAGATAACTAATAGATATTGGGATTAATCATCAATTCTTAGCAACCCTTGGAAAGGAGATTTTTAAACAAATATTATCCAAAATGTTTGGGTCATAGAAATGTCTGTGCATTTAAAAACTAGAGAAGACATTTAGAAATTGGGAGATTTAACATTAAAAAAAAATGAGGATTCTGATTTATCTTGGTTAATTGGATCTGAAATACAGAGCTGAGTTGTGGCTTCCTCCACACCATGTGCCCATTGCAGCAATGCCCCTGTCTCAGAGCTCCTGTGCAGAGGCCTTTCAACCATTCAGCTCATTCAGCTTTTATCAAGTGTGTGACTCCTTGGAACATAACAGAGTAAACTAAAGGGAAGTAAACTGATGACATTAAGTCATTTCGGTGTAATGAGGCTAACGCTATAAAAGATGAGGGATGTGTCTGACTATTCATTATATCAACCCTTAATGCTCTCATCCAATACGGAGCAGGGAAGCTGAAGTCTACAGTAGTTATAAGCGCTCCGATGTTCAGACCAGAGTAGAGAAATAAATTTTTCAAGAAAATATGATATTTAAAATCTTATGTTTACAAAAGATTATTTAACTTTCTGGGTTGTAGGGCTAAAGGACAATTAAGTTCTACCTGGAAGTTCACCAAAGGATTTGTTAAATCAGAAGCCCATCAAACATGAATTTGTATTCTGACCATTGGATGTGCCCACAGTTTTTCGGGTTCATCTTGAAACTAAGGTTCATTCCTAAGCCAAGCCCTGAGTAGTTATTTCCAACTAAAGACAATTTCTGTACTCCAGGTATTATTTGCAGCTACCCTAAAAAAAAAAAATCTAGCTTAATGCATCAAAATGTAATCTCCTGAGTTCGTAAGAGTAAAAAATAAAGGTGCTTTCTAGAATGGTCAAAGCTATTTTTCTCAATGTTATTTATGATAAGCTCCAAGACAGGACACAGGCACTAGCCATCCATCCATGCTGCAAGCATTTATTTTAAAACATTTATCTTAAAAAGGAAATACTGGAGATTTATTTCAGATCTCTATCATTCTCATAAAATTGAAAAATTCATATCTGTCAGCTCTATCACTCCTCCAAGTCAACAGAAGCTTTTAGTCTCCCCCCCAACACCCCCCACCCTTATCAGCCGCTCATGCATCGAGGGGCAGTTTTCTTCCCCTTTCCCTAGGGTCTTCATTTTCAATTTAGCCCACGAGGTGAGCCATAAGCTTTGTGGAAGACAGTAGCCTCTATCATTTTTGCTCTGTCTTGATTCTCTTATCCACTCCTCCTCTTTAAAAACTTATTTTTAGCAAAAAAAAAAAAATTCTCACATATAGATTCTGCTGTAATATCATTTACAATCATCTGCAATAGCAAATGATTGTCATTTAAATAAAAGTTGTCATTGCATTGTGCACATAGTGCAAAATGCAGGGATATCAAATAGCCTTTATATTGCCTGCTCATGACATAATAAGCATTGAATACTGAAAATGTGAAAAATATAGTGAAACACACAAAAAAGCAAAGGCATTAACATTTCAGTGTATTTCCTTTCAGTCACTTTTCTAGTTTTTTTAAAAATTATGATTCCCATCTCATAGTACATTAAAATTTCATATTAATATTCTATTAACATTATTTAGTTAAATAACACTAATAATACCATGTACCAAATGAAATGAAACAATTAAATCAATCAGTTTAATAATATTAATACTTGCCCTATTTTTCCCACTAAAATAAAGGGAATATATCATTTTATTAAATATTCTTCTGCAGCTATTTAAAATGGCTATGTGAGTTTTAACTTAATGAGTAATTCTAAGGCTTACCATCCTCTAGCTGATGGGAAATTTGTCTGCTTTCATTTCTTTGTTATGGCAACATGTGCCCACATCTCAGATTCTGTCATTTGGATAGATTTTTTTCATGATTGGAATGAATTGGCCAAGCGTTTTAAAGTTGCTGAAATGTGTTCAATTGCTCTCCTGAAAAGTGTGAGTCTTTGATCTTATTACACCCATATGAATCCTTGTTCCCTGAATCACATAGGAGTCATTTTGATGGTATGATTTAGGGATGGTACGGCAGAGTAGCCTCCCTGTCATTATCTGTCAAATAATACAGGCTTTCCAACATTGTTGGATGGAATTTAAAGCCTGTCTATGATAGGTGTTGCGATGATTCAAACGTGGAAATTTGACAACTTTGAGTTTCCTTTTCCAGACCCTCCTCCCTGCTTATGTCACTGAGGAGACCCCTGAGTCATACTGAGGCTGCGTGACTTGCCCAGTATCCCAGAGCAGACCAGCATGGGCCAGAATGCAGGCAGGGCTTCTCCATGTAGCCTGTCCTTCTGATACTGCCTTTTGATCCCTGCCCCACCTGAACAGGAAAACCTCCCTCAAATTTCAGTCTCAATTCTCAGCCCAGAGTCTGAGCTCTATAGACTTGACCTTCTTAGAGAATCAGATACAGAAAAATCCTTGAGTAATAATGGAAATCCTGTCCACTGCATGGCAAAAAATGATAATGAAAGCCAAGCTGGGCACACCGTGAACTTATTAATTTCTACACGTGCCCCACTGAGGCCCGTTAGGATACTGTGGAGACTTTTAAATTTGAAGGGAATTAGATTGCCTTTCAGAGATAATAGAACTGCTCATTTGTCTACATTGGGCCGGTCTGGACTTGTCTTTTGTAAGGACAGGGCTGCAGAGAATGATCAGGCATAATTGGCTGGCTTCTCAGGCTGGGTGAGTCTCTGAAGGCTGCCCAGACAATTGCCTTGGACATGATTTGGCCTGGTTTGATTAGCTGGTTAGTGCTGGTTACAGTAGGAACGGTTCTTTCTTCCATAGTTAACTCTACTGTCTACCTGCCCTGCTCTCTTTGGGTGGGCCTACCTGGGGGCCTTGTTCCTACCTCAGATCCTACGGATGCCTAATAGCAGAGACCCACCCAGGGCTCCAGGTAGCCATGATGTGTCATGGTGAGAGGGAAAGCCCGAGGTTTTAACTCTTTTTTAAAAATTTAATTTTGTCGTTTTATTAAGTTGACAGAAAATGTTATACATTTTTATTATGTTCAATATGGTATTTTGAAGCATAGAAGCATATACTGTGGAATGGTTTAATCTAGCTAATTGGCAGATGCATTACCTCGCACAGTTATCGTTTCTGTATGTTTGCATGTAAAATCCACTCTCTTTACATTTTTCCAAGAATGCAGTGCATCATGGTTAATGATCACCTTGCTGTCTAATAGAGCTCTTGAAATGTATTCCTCCTCGCTAACTGCCATTATATATTCTCCTCCCTCGGCACTCTGGATTCTACCGCTGTGCCTCTGTACTTCTATAAGATCCACCTTTTTATATTCCACATGAGTGAGATCATGTATCATTTGTCTTTCTGTGCTGGCTATTTTCACATACCAGACCCAGATTATTTTACATTTCTGCTCTGCCATCTCAGATAAGTCACCAAACTCCTCTAAGGAAGAAATTCAAAAATGGATTAAATAAGATATTATTGCAAAGAGCCTAGAGTCCTCTCTGGCAGCCAGAAGATGCACAGTGACTCGCAGTTCTGATAGTCATAGCAATGGTAATAATGAGAATCATCAGAGCAATTGTGATTCTTGTTATTATCAATAAGCCACAAATGTTTGCTTCATTTTCATTGTAATCAGTGGCACAATTATAATCTGTGATGATGATGCTAAAGAAAGGAGAAAAGTAATTTTGGAGTGTTTCTAAGTCTTG